ATATATAACAGGGATCAGCAAACTCTTCTGTAAAGAGTTAGAAAATAAATGCTTTAGGTTTTGTGGGGCATACAGTCTCTGTTGCATTTACTCAGCTCTGCCACCGTGGTGTGACAACAGCCCTGATAGGAAGTAAGTGAATGAGTGTGGCTGTGTTCCAGTAACATCTGTTTGTAAAAATGAGTGGTGGGCTGCATTTGGTCTGTGGATTGTAGTTTGCCGACATCTGCTCTACAAGATAATGTTTTTAAAATGATAGACTTTTCATAACATTATTTAATTTTAATAGGAAAAATGGGCTACGATTCAAATATTGATTTGTTGGACCAGTCTGTCATCATGCCCATATTTAGTAACAGATGCATGGACTGAGAAGATGAAATAAAGCTGACTCACCTCTGTAACCTGTCTTCCATGAAGTAATGAGACACAGAGATACAGTGGTAAAAACATATGAAAGAAATCACTTGTCTATTAATGGTTCTATCTATAATTATTTTATATGGGGAATAAAAATTAATGTATTAACAGTTTTGCAAAGAAAACTTGATGGATGGCCCATGGGTGTGATAAGATATGATATAAGCAAATAATTGACTCTGAAAATGTATAGTTATTACAAATCAGGCACAGTAAGACTTACTACCCTTCTGGATCTGCAGTTTGCAACTGAAGTCTTACTCTTATTCTTATTAATTTTATCGTTTTTTCAGTTTTCAGTTAGTTATATTGAGCAATTCTAAAAGTGCCATTCCCTTACCTGGCAGTCATCTGAAAGCACTTTAGGTTCAAGTAGAGTGTTTTCTTCAAAAATCTGGCCATTCCATCCCTTGAAACCAACAACGAGTCCTGAGCCACTTGTCTGAGCACTTGACCACACTGGCATGTCTAGACAGTGGATGGTGATGATGTGGGTGGCTTCTGAGCTCAGTAAATGAAGGAAGTTCATCTGGACTTTCCCAACTCCGAACTCCAACTAATGTCATAGAAACAATATACAAGTTATAAGATAGAGCAATTGAAAAACTTAGTTTGGGGAAACTTGAGGAAAGTCCTTGAAAGGCAGCCTTGAGAAAGCTCCTTTTCTTGACGTTTACTTGCCAGTCAGTGCTGGTAAATGCTGAACCACTGGCTCTTGCAAGGTTAGGGCAGTGGGGAATCCCTGATTTATAGTATTTTCTGATTTCTATGGTTGTAAATACTCCCACCATGGCTGATTTTAGACTATAAAGGTGGTGCCATTGAACACGGAGTTTGCAAGAGCTGTTAGCGATAGGCTCTCCTAAGCCAGTAGGAGCTGGCTTTAACGTACTGCTAGGCTACTGAATGTGACCAAATAAAAAGATAACTTTGCGTAATATTATCTAATCTAAAATGCATGAGTAATTTGTTACTGATTAATGATTAATAATTTTTTCACAAAAATCTGTTTCATTTGAAGATTTTTTTTTGTTTCCAAAGATACAACTTGTAATAACTTGCTTGAGTGATTTTTAACTATGAGAGCCTTCAAAGACAAGGACAGAATCTTATTGTGTTGCCAGCTCCTAATGCAGTTCCAGTCATACAGTGAGCCATCAATAAATGTTTACTGAATGAATGAATGCAGGAACAGGCATTAACTAACACAGTGAACAGTATTGGAACAAGGAGGTCTGATTACACATTTTCCAGGCTTGGATAAAGAAGCAGATTCATATTCTATAGCTTTAGACACCATCATCATCATTATTTTAATATTATACAAGCAAGGGTATGGTCATAATGTAAATCAATAGAAGTGGGTCCTGAGGAATTTATATTAATCTCCAAACAGAAAATTAGAAAAATATGTTATGAAGTAACAGAGAAGGAAGAATAATAAAGTGATTAAAAAAAAAAGTAAGGCCTCAGGGAAAGAGGAAAGGCGAAGGAAGGGCATACGGGTGAAACACAGAAGGATTATTGTGAGGAGCGTTAGCATTGAAGTAGTTCAGATTCCTTCATTCTGCAGGTGAGAACCACAGACCTGTACAGTATGGCGCCTTTCTGAGCGTTAGTTTCCTTGTTGGTAAGGCTGGGTCTAACGCTGACCCAATAACCCTTTGTTACAAGGATTTGAGATGCCAAGTGTCATTTACTAGAATGGTGCCTTGCACAGAGCAGGCGCTCTGGCAGCTCACAGTGTCATTTCCCAGGTTTGTGGAGGAACAGAAATTAGAATCCAGGTCTCTGATTCCAAGTCTACTGTTCTTCCCACCACCTGTCCAGTCCCTCTCAGGCTGAGGTTATGGAGAGGAGAGATGGGAGAACTGAGCAGGCCAAGGAAGGATTCCGAGTGCAGCTCCTTCGCTGCTCCTAGCTTCTCTGCACACTCCCTCTCCCCTTTTCTTCCACAATAATGCAAGTACAAACCCTCGGCTAAGTCCAGGGGAGTGAGGATGCCCATGTGGATACTTTGGAAGAAGGACCATCATGCTGCTCTTCGTTGGACGTACACAAGTTCCCTAGGAGTAGAAGAACCCTCCCCTCCTCTGCTTTGGGGGTAATAACGGTGACTTCCTATTGAAATAAATTGGTGAAGCGCCCTGGTTGATGAAGGGGAGCGTTTTAGGAGAGGGTGGCTAGAAAGACTGACGCTGCACGTTTTAGCTGCTGCCTTTTTATGGCAAAACACGCAGTAGGTACCTGTATCAGTTCTTTGTCAATGAGAATTAAGTTCTTGGCAGTGCCAAGCTGATTTAACCAGAAAAAGAAAGAAATGCAGTTTTGGTTTCTACAATATACGTTATAGGTAGAACTAAGCTTTAAGATTTAGAAATGCGTGTTACAATACCCAGTGTTATACAGCAAACTAGCATTTGTTCATTCTAAACATTTGGTTTATAGAATTATACTCATAAGGAGTTTTAAATAATAGTCAGTGGATGTTTAGGCGAGGTTATTTTGTGCTCAATCACCAAAAATAGCAAACTTTGTGGCAGAATTCCTCTTTTAATGATGATGATGGTATTTTCAATAAAACTTTAGGTAACCAATTACTGAATACAAACATTGCAGCTGTTTGGGGATTTTTCTAAGGCATGCATGTACATAAAAGTGTAACGTTTTACATTTTTAAAAGGAATTTAAAAAGCATGGTCAGTAGAGTAAGCCAAGCTCAGCCTATCATAAAAACATACAATCAAAATGTCAAGATATAATAGGATTGTTTTTAAAAAAACAAAAAAAAATTCTTCTTATATATAGTAGAGAGTATCTTGCTTCCATTCATAAAATTCATAATTATTTGAAGTGACGTAATTTTTAAAATCACTGATAGCGGTCAAGCGCCTACATATATTCTGAAATTCAATACATACCTTTGTTACAGAGACAGGAGATAAACATGTCTGACCACCAGCACTGAAATTGCAGAAAACCTCAATGGCATCTGAAGGGCACCCGAGATTTGGATCAATCCAGTATTTTCCTATTAATTTAAAGATTTAAATGCTTGTGCTAAAATATATCTGAAACATCCTTAATGAATTATCATCATTTCAATACATTTTTTCACACTCTCCTGTTAAAAAAACTTAGATTATAAAGATACTTACACTAAGTGAAAGAATGAAAGCTACACAGCATTATAAAAATACTGTGTTTTTCAGAGACCTATCGATTTAAGGGCATTTCATAATTTTAATAAAAAAATAATTGACAATCTATTGCTTCATTCTATAGATAAGATGAACTCAGCAACTTAAAGTGAATTGTCTAAAGTTACATAGTTAATAGAAAAGTTGAAATTAATGTAAGGCATGTGTCTATCTCTTTTCTATGTCATTATAGAGCTTAAAAATGAATATTTTTTAAAAATAGAAACTTCTTCAATCTCTTTGAGGAAAAACATATCTTTATATGTAGTATAAATAATTAAAAATAACCATCCAATAATACATTTTTCTTTCCAGAAACAAAAAATGTTTATCACTTTTGTGCTTTCTCTTCAGATGTGTAGGTGGCAAACACTGAGGTGCCTAAGCCAGCGTCAGCCTGCCCACCTTTGCGCCCACTGAGTTCCCAGGAGCATCAAACAGGGTGTAAACTTGGACTTGAGGACACACTAAGACTGAAAAGTACTAGGCTAGCATATTAATTCCAGAATAATGGTCTCAGAATATTGAAATAGCATCTTATTCCAGATGCAAAGGGCAGCAATTTTTGAATGAGATGGCCCTGCCTTCTTGCATTAAAAAGGCAGGACAGCCAAGCAGTAAAAGTCACTTTCTGTGATAGGTAGAAATCCTTATTTGTTCCATTCTTCAGCGGAGCCCTCAGGCTTCTGCGGGGCCATCACTTTAGACTTCCACAACATCCTTGACTGTTCTCCCCTCCGCTATTTCTACTAACCCTTCAAGATGAAAACTTGTTGCTTAGTAGCTCCAAGAGCAGGGGACTGTCCTACTGTTTAGGGGCATCAGAACCACTTTTTAAAACAGATAGCCGGGCCCCACCCCTAGAGTCATGGATTAAGTCTGGGAAGGGGCTTGAGAATCTGCATCTAATTCTAGTCCAGGGATGTATTTGGAGAACCACAGATTTACTGACATATGGAAGAAAGGAGTGAAAGATCCTAACACTGTCCCGTTTTCCCCCCATTTCAGAATTTTTAACGTTTTGAGATCTGTAGAAATTACAGCTGGACTGTTTGTTTTGTTGTAACTAGGATCTGATGCAGGCTTACAGTCTAATCTCTCTGCTACTATGTGAGCTAATAAGTTCTTTCTAGAAAGTTTTCCCTCAAGCGAGCTCGCATCGTTCTATGGGGCGGGATGCTTAAATCCAGGCACCGTGTTGTACGATGGTGAACCGGAAGCACATGCTGTTTGTTTCAGGGTATCCTGAGCGACAGATGAAGGACCGTACCACTGTGTATCTTCTGTAGGCCTAACCGTTCTAACTCAGAACTGGCTCTGCCCTGAGAACAGTGCTTCCTTTGCTACCCTTTCCAGTTCTGCCACAGCCTCTACAGCACCGTCCCTAGCTGGGGAAGGGGACTTTCTTGCCTCTCATTGCCACTTTCAGACCTTTCTCCCCACTTTCTCCCTAAAAACCTCCATGGTAAAATTACTGTCATCTCTCATTACCCATTACCTTTTGCCATCATCAACTTTCTTTGATAACTTTAGCTTTTGGCTGGCTATCCCTTTCAGAAAATCTATTTATAGCCTAATTCTTGGTGATTTTACATCCATGTGGTTGATATTTGTCATACTCTGACTTCTCGGTTCCTTGATCTCTTTCCCACCCGTGTTCCTGGGCCCTTCCCCTGCCAT